CAGCAGCTGCTGCTGCTGCTGCTGCTTCTGCTGCCTCACAGCCTCGGCCTGCAGATGCCGCAGTGCAAAGGAAGGGAAGCGAAGCAAAAATGGAGTGTCAATGGGGGGCCCCTGCTGCCATGGTGGGGGCCCCGCTGGTGCCTTGCTGCGACAAAAGACAGACGCTGCAGCTCCGCTGCTGCTGCTGCTGCTGCTCTCCAGAGGAGCAGCAGCAGCAGCAACGGCAGACGCAAAAAGTGGGGGACGCTGCAGACACACTGGCTAAGGAGAGGCACGCCACCACTGCGTAGAGGGGAAGCATGCACCGGCTCTAGCTGCTGCTGCAGTTGCTGCTGCAGCGGCTCCTGCAGCTGCTGCACTTAAAAAACAAATAAAAACGGAAGATATGGGGGCCCAACAACTGCTTGAAGAGTGAAGACGGGGGGGCCCCTTAGCCTACCTTTTTGCTGCGCCGTCACGCGTGCTGCAGCAGTTCTTCTTGCTGCTGCTGCTGCTGCTGCCGCTGCCCTGTTTGCAGCTGGTGCACATCCTAGTAACCTACAAAGAGGTATTAATGCTGCTGCAGCAGCTTCGTGAGATGATCGGAGGCCGCCAACCCCTCAGCCCCATATGGACGCCACGTACCAGCAGCAGCAGCAGCAGCAGCACCAGCAGCAGCAGCTCGAGGTGCGCCAAAGCCGCCAGTGCCTCGGACAGCCCCAGCTCTTGTTCTCTTTGTGTCTTGTTTAAAAATAATTCTTAGAAGTGTAACAATATGAATATTCTTCTTGATGCTGCAGCAGCTGCTGCCTCAGCTCTGGTGCCCGCGCGCGCTGAGTCTCACCACATCCCCTGCCTCGGGCTTGCGGCAGCAGCAGCAGCAGTAGCAGCTGCTGCTGCTGCTGCCACTGCTGCTGTTGTTGCCTCGCAGTAGACAAACTTTAGCTTACGACGCCTGTAGGCCTCACCTCTAGGGCTTAGGGGGCCCCTGGGGGCCCCCTTTGCTGCCTGCCACTCTGGTGGCGGCCAAGGGGGCCCCTTTGGTAGGGTTTTGCTGCTTCTGACCGAGTCCCTTCGCTGCTGCTGCTGCTGCTGCTGCTGCTGTTGGCAGCAACTGCAGAGCAGCGCGCTGCTGCGCTCGCAGGGCCCAGGGGCTCGCTGCGGGGACTTCGGGCAATTCCGAGGAGATGAGCCATGTGCCGCTAACTGGCTAGCTGGCTGGCTAGCTAGCTAGCTACCCACCTAGCCAGCTAGCTAGCTATCTAGCTAGCTGCTAGTAGCTAGTTAGGGGCAGCTAGCTGGCGGAGAAGCTGCTGCTCGCTAGGGGCCCCAGGAGCCACTATTAGCTTTCAGGTGTCTGTACAGCTCGCAGCTCTCCTTAGTGCATTTCGTCTTAGTTTTGAGCCTGCTGCTGCTGCTGCAGCAGCAACAGCAGCAGCAGCTGCTCCTGCTCCTGCTGTGCCGCTGCAGCTCTGCTGCTGCAGCTGTGCTGCCGCTGCGATACTGCTGCTGTTCCCGGACACTTGTGCTGCTCTGCCGTCCGCAGCTGCAGCACCAGGCTGCTGCTGCTGCTACTGGCCCGAAATAGCATGTCTAGCTGGCGAGCTAGCTAGCTAAGTGGCTAGCTAGCTAGCTAGCCAGCTAGCTAGCCAGCTAGCTAGCTAGCCAGCTAGCTAGGTAGCTAGCTGGCTAGCTAGCTGGAGAGGATCCGCTGCTGCTTGTGTCTGGTCCCGCTGCAGCACTGCTGCTTATGCTGAGTTGCCATTTTGCTGTTTGCTTCCTCTACAGGAAAAGATTTCTTCAGAGGCGCAGCAGCAAACCCTAGCCCAAACCCTAAACCCCTGGACCCTAAACCATAGTAAACCTAATGCCCCAGAGTGGGCCCTTGCTGCTGCTCTAGGCTGCCGGCCCCTCTAGCAGCAGCAGAAGCTGCTGCTGCAATATAGGGCTGTGCTGCTGCTGGCTTTCTCTGGGCTGCTGCCGCGGTTGCTGCTGCTGCTCGTCACGCTGCTGCAGCTCGGGTGTACGTACACCTGGGGTCATTGCGTCGAGAATTGAAATCAGTCGAAGCGAAAAGAGCCTCGCTACCTTTAATGCACTTTTCTGCTGCTGCTGCTGCTGCTGCTGCGCTCTGCAGCGGCGCAGCGCAGCGCCGCCGTAAACGGCTGTGCAGCCCTCGGACTGCATGCGGTTGTGTAGATATTTAGATTATTTCCATTTATATTATTTATATTTATTTAATTATATTTATTTTAGCTTTTTGATTAAACTTGACGAAGTAGTTCTGCATTTAAATGCAATTGCACAGACACTTTGGTCTCTGCAGGCCCACTTGCACAGCGCATGCTTTCACGTCTCATTTACTTATTTATTTATTTATCACCTTTTCATTATTTATAATTAATTAATTAATTAATTGGCTAATTAATTAATTAATTAATTTATTTATTTATTTGTTTATTTATTTATGTATAGCCTTATACGCTCCGGATGCATGCGCTTTATTACAAAGCCAAAGACATGGGCATGCAGATACAGCCATTTGGGTGTTGTTATAAATACGAAGACAAAGACTTAAGTGAGGAAATAAATATCTCCTTAGAAATATTAATTATATAATGTTTATTTTACTAATGAGCTGCTCAAGCATCTGCATGGTATCCGCACATACGCAGTGTACACGCAGCTCTAGGCAGCAGCAGCAGCTGCTGCAGCAGCAGCTGCTGCTGCTCCTGCTGCAGCTCCTTCAGCAGCGCCCCTGCAGCAGCAGAACCCGCTGCAGCACGGCCTCCTGCTGGAGCAGCGCAGCGGCTGCCTTGCAGCGCCGGGAGCCGCTCTTGCAGCGCCTCCTGCAGCAGCAGCAACAGCTGCTGCTGCTGCTGCTGCTGCAGCTGCTGCTGCGGGATTAGAGGCAGCCGAGGCAGCTGAGGCGGGTGAGGCTGCGGTCCAGCTCCGCGTGGGCCTGCAGCCGCTCCTTCAGAGTCCTGCGGAGATCTGTGTCTGCGCTGAGGCGGGCCCCAGAACTCAACAGGCATTGTGCTGCTGCTGCTGTCAGCCCTGTGGGGCCCGCGTGGCTCAAAAAGGGGGCCCTGTAGTAAAAGTAGTCCACCCCGGGGTGCGGCACTGCGAACGCCCGCTCCTCTACCACCGGAGACGCCTGCAGCAGCAGCAGCAGCAGCAGCGGCGGCAGTGTAAGGGCAGCAGCAGCAGCAGCAGTAGGAGGAGGAGGAAAAGCAGCAGCAGCAGCAGCAGCGCAGGAAGCGACGGGGGCGGCGGCGATGATGGAGGCAGGCGCAGCAGCAGGGAAACTAGGAGGGATAGCAGCAGCAGCAGCAGCAGCAGCAGCAAAAAGACCAACAACAGAAGCAGCAAGAAACAAACAAAGAGCCACCTGAAGGCGCGAAAAGAGGCAAATGAGGAAGCAAATAAGGAGTAAAAAGGAGAAGGAAAAATAAAGGCAAAAATAAAGGTAAAAAAGGAAATAAAAATGAAAAACTAACTTTTTGCTTCAAGTACTCTCTCCTTAACTCTTGGTACTGATCATAATTCCAGTGCCGCAGCTTCTTCAGGTCCCAGATGTTGATGGGCACGGGGCCCTCAGCTGCAGCAGCAGCAGCAGCAGCAGCAGCAACCGCCAGCATGCACAAGCAGCAGCAGCAGCAGCAGCGAAAACAGCAGCAGCAGCGGCCACAAGGACAGCAGAAGCAGCAGCAACAACAACAACAGTAGCAACAGCAACAGCAGCAACAGCAGCAGCCCCAGCAGTATTAGCAAGAGCAGCAGCAGCAGCAGCAGCAGCGACAGCAGCAGAAGGAATGCTTCCCAAGCAACAGGGCTCTATGGGGCCCCTTTTTTTCCTCTTTCGAGGCTTGCAAAGTACTGCAGCAGCAGCAGCAGCAGCAGCAGCGGCGGCTGCAACACCAGCATTGGCAAGAATATCAGCAGCAGCAGCAGCAGCAGCAGCAGCAGCTTCTTACGGGAGAAGAGAGTGACTCTAGCGTCTGTCTCCATGGACTCGAGGTCCGAGTTAGTCCTGGGGCTGTGGCTGCGGCCGCTGCTGCTGCCGCCCATCGGCAGCAGCAACCTGGGGCTGAGGTCGCTGGGCTTTGGGGAGTTGAGGCTGGGGGCCTTATAAGCAAAGGCAGCAGAACTTGCTGGAAGCACTGGGCTGCTGCAGGGGGTTCTCAAGCCGCTGCGGTTGCTGCTGCTGCTGCTGTGGCTGCTGCTGCTGATGAGGCTGCTGCGCCTGCTGCCCTCGCTGCAGCGGCTGTTGCTGCTGCGCGAACTCAAACTGCCGTTGCGCGGGCTGTCGTATTGGTCGGCAGCAGCTGCTACTGTTGCTGTCGCTGCAGCAGCCATGGCTGCTGTGCTCAAGGGGGCGCCCACAGCAACTGCTGCTGCTGCTGCTGCTGCTGCTGCAAGCGGCGTACTGATAGAAACCGTTTCACGCTTGGAAGCCGTAGATGAAGAACTGCGCGCGCTGTCTTGTCTTGTTGCTGCTGCTTCTGCTGCTGCAGGCTCAGCAGCAGGCTCTGCTGTTGCTGCTTCTGCTGCTGGTGACTCTGGCTGCGGCTCTGCTGCGCCGCCGTCAGCAGGAGCTGCTAGTGCAGCATCAGCAGCAGCAGCAGCATCGGAAGCAGCAGCTCCGGCGGCGTGCGCTGCAGCGTCGGCCTCAGCAGCCACCTGCGCGCCAGCACGGGCCGCAGCTGCTGCTGCGTCGGCAGCAGCAGCAGCAGCATCAGCAGCAGCAGCACTCGCACCCCCCAAGCTGCTGCTGTGGCTCTGCAGCCCCGGGCTGCTCTCAGGCGAAGGGTTGGGCGTGCGGGTCACCTCTGGGCTTTCTTTGGGGGAGCTGGGGGGCTTTGGGGAGGTCATTTCTGAACAAAAGCAGCAAGCAAAGCTTCTAAATGCAAATAATTAAATTAATTTAATTAATTTAATTCAAAAAAACAAAATAACACAAAAGTCCAACAAATTGAGCCATTTGCTGCAGCAGCAAACCCCAGGCAGCAGCAACAGCCACAAAAGGCCAGGCGGAAGCGCCCGCGTGCGGCAGCAGCAAATTGCTCCGCAGACAGCAGCAACGAAATAAACAAAAATGAACAAAAGTAAACAAAAATAAACAAAAATAAAGAATAAAAACAAATAATAAACAAAAATAAACATTAAAAACAAATAATGAACAAAAAGAAACAACAAATAAATAAAATTGAGGAGAAAAACGGGAAAAATGGAAACTCGCAACAAGGAATGGCTGGAAAGCAGCAGCAAACAGTGCAGCAAAAGTCTGTGGCCAGCAGCAAATAAATAAACAAATAAACAAATAGTTAAATATATAAATAGATAAATAAACAAACAAACAAACAAATAAATAAATGAATACATAAAAATAAAGAATTTAAACAAATTTGAGGATTTAGTTGGGCCGCTTTCTTCCAGAAGCAAACAGCTGCAAAAACTGAAGCAGCAGGAGTCGCCGAGACAGCCCAAAAGCCTCTTTTTGCTGCTGAAAAAGACAATTAAGATCATTTTGAGTTTATAAAACATTTTTACAACTTTTTAAAATCTTTTTTGGAACTTTTTGGGACTTTTTTGGGACTTTTTGGCTTTTTTTGGGACTTTTTCAACTTCTTCTGTGCCCCCATTCCCTTTGTTGTGAGGAAGATTTGCACAAGTTCAAATTTGGGGGAAAGTGGAAGAGAATATTCTCGAAATGAGGCCATTAATGGCTTCTTGAAAGGCATTTAAAGTGGAAATGAAGTGGAAATAGAAATTAAAATGAAAATAGAATTTAAAATGAAAAAAAAGACGCAAGTTTTGATATAAATTTGATCTCTTTTGAAGGCTTTCTGCTGTATGTACGCCTGTGGGGTGTATGTACACACGGAACTTCACATGTGCGCAGCAAAACAAATAAATATATTCGGCTGCAGATCTGTATTTAATGGAAGCATTATAAATTAATTAATTAGTTATTTATTTATTTATTTATTTATTGTTGTTTGCTTGTTTATGTGCTTGTTTATTTGTGTAAGAGCAAGAAAGAGCACTGGCATCTTGGATATGAGCGGTGGCAGTTACTGCTGCTATTGCTGCTGCTGATTCGGCTGCTGCTGCTGTTGCTGCTGTTGCTGCTGCCGGGGATTCTCTTGCTGCTGTTGCTGCGGTTGCTACTCAAGCCGCTGTTTCCGCTGAAGCGGCCCCACTGCCGGCGCAGCGCTGCTTCTCCCACTGCTGCGGCTGCTGCTGCTGCTGCTGCTGCTAAGAGTGTGGAAGGGTCTGTGGGCTTCTTTTGCTTCTCCACTTCTCCTCGAGACTTTTAATTTGCTGCTGATTCGAAAATTGCATTAAATGCATTTCTGCTGCAGTTAAGTGCTGCTGCGGCTGCGGGCGGCGGCGCCGGCGAGCCAGCGCTGGCCGCTGGACTGAGGGGTGCCCAGGCAAGGATGAAGTGGAAAGGAAGAAAAAATGAAAATAAACATTTGAATAATTAAATTATTTAATTATTTTGAGAAAAGATGCACAGAAAAGCCACAAAACGCGGAAACAGAACACCAGGCACGAGGCTCCAGCGGCTCAGAGGCTCTGGGCTGAGGCTTACCGTGGGTTGTTGTGGATAAAAGTCCCGGGGGTTTTATTTGCGGAAATGAAATAATGAAAAGGATTTAATAATAATGAAATAAATTCAAATTAAGGCTTCAAACTCACCCAAAAACACACGCAAACAGCAGCAGCAGCAGCAACAGCAGTAGCAGTCGAACAGCTGCTGCGAGGCGCCACGGCGAGTCGCACTCGTTGTTTTCGGGCGATCGCGCGCTGAAATTGGCGGAGTTTGCAAATTCTTTTTGACATTTTCCTCTAACTTCAAATTAATTTTATTAAATTTAAATTAATTAATTCAAATGCTTTAAAAAATGGCAATAAGTAGCAGGCAGAGTCGCAGCATCGACGCAGTGTCGTCGCCCAGGGTGTCGGCGGCCCCGCTGCTCCCGCTTCCTCTCTTCTTTTCCTTTCTTTCTTCTTCTATCTTTTTTTAAAATTAAATTTATTTAAATTAATTATTTTAAATACTTTTAGGGCCTTTTAGCTGCAGCAGTCAGGCCGCATGCCCAACGCGCCACCCGCCGTTCCCCCTTGGCCACCGCCGACCCTGCTGCTGCTGCTGCTACTGCTTAGCTGTGGCAGCAGAAGCAGCTGCAGCAGCACTGCAGCAGCAGCAAAACGCCCCAGCGAGACACCGCTTCATGGAGAAACGAGCAGCATCTGGAGAGCTCATAGCTCCCAAACTATGGTTTATAAGCTAGCCACTTAGTTGTCCAGCTAGCTACCTAGCTAGCTAGCTAGCTAGCTAGCACAAGTGCAGCAACAGTTCTCCTTTGAAGAGGCCGCCTGCAGCAGCAGCGAGCCAGCCGCTTTCTGCTGCAGCAGCAGCAGCCGCTGCTGCTGCAGCGGCAGCAGCAATAGGTACAAAAAAGGAAGCACAAAAGAAAAAAAAGGGTTTTGCAAACTTTCTGAAAAGCCCCTTAATGCCACAAAACCCCAACTGCGCATCCCCAGAAAAGCCCTGATGTGCTGCGCCTCTAAGACCCCAGGAGGCCCCCAGGGGCCCCTGGGGCCCCCAGGG